TGTGGACATGGAAGGTCACGATGATGATGATGCTGAAGATGATTTGGAGTTTTTGCCAAGACTACAAGTTTTTGTCAGGAAAGAGGAGGAAAAGGCATCAGGCTCTCAGGAAAGAGAGGAAGAAGGTGTATGCTCTCAAGAAAGAGAGGAAACACAACCACAACAAGAAAGTGAGGTATTACCTGATGCAAATCCTCGAAGAAATATGGAAGATCGACAGGGACTGTTCTTAGTCAGGCAACTCAAACCAGAGCACAGACAGATCCTCCATGATATTACACTCCAAGGCCAAACAATCCTCACAGAAGATGATCTTGAAGGAAGTCGACCCCTTGAACGTGGTGACATAAGCTTCTTCTCATTATGGTTGATGATGTCGGCATTATCAGATGCTTCTTTTTCAACATTTATGGAGCAGTATGCACCTATGATGGGTTATGAGATCTCTTACGACAAGTACTATGAGTTCAAACTGGATATTGACAAAGTTCTCAAGGACAATGAACACCTTGGCGCAGAAAATTTCTTTGGAGCAGAGGATCCTCAGATGGTGGACGATGATCCAGACACTCCACTTCCAGATCTTCAAAGACCAGGCGCAGGTGATCCTGAGTACAAGCATACCATTGAAAGTTTGAACATTGAGGACAAACATATCATTTTGGAAACTGATGATGACAAATTGGTTGAGTGTACATTGAAATGGATCAGTATGTGCAATCAGAATGTTCAACGAAAGATCAAGGAAAGTTTTGTCAAACCAGAAGAACGACAAGAGGAAGAAGAGAAAGAAGAGGATGAAGATGAGGAGATTGCTGTTGAAGAAGAAGAAGAAGAAAAAGACACACAGGAGCCACATGTCCCAGCTGAAGGCTCTTCAGAGAAAGAGGAATCAGCTCCACCTGAACGCTCCTCAGAAAAGGAGGAATCAGGGGAGAAGAAAACAGACATTCAAGATGATGAGACAGCTCCTGAAGTGAAACCTGCAATTCGACTTTACTATGGTCAAGATATCACTGGAAACGAAGATGATTCAGTTTTTCGAAAATTGAAGGATTGTTTTTCAGATGGTTACCATGGTGAATGGGCAGGATTTTACAACAAAGGTTATCCAGCGTCTTCGAAGCATCGACATATGTTTTGGCATGTTAAGTACAGGAAGACCATGTCTCCACATCATGATTTTTGGTACCATCTTACAGATGACCAGTTGATGGTTGAGTACATTGCCAGACACAAGAATCAGGATCCACAACTAGAATTACAAGAACTTAATCAGCGCATTGAATATGGTTGTAGTGATCCAAGGATGCATCCTCTTCATCAAGACAAAGCAGAAAGATCCTCAAAAGAAGCAGAACAGAGGATTGATGACGATTTTGGAAATCTCACAAAGGTACTCCAAGATTACGTTGAGGAACACAAGGTCTTGCCTTACTGTATGATCTTGCATAGCTTGGCTTACAGGTATTTAGGTGGAGGCCTATCAGACCCAACGTACAAGGATGCTGAATTTCCATACAGATCCTCTCCACAGATAACAGCAATGTTTTGGAATTTGGGAAACTGGTGCAGAAACAGATTTGAAAAATGCCCGGTTCCAGAAAGATTTCAACAATTCATTCCACACATTGACTACACTATCGATGAGGATCATGAAAAATTTGATGAAACCAAATCACAGTTCAACAATTACTTCATCAATGCCATCAAGAACTTTGGAGGACATCTTTTCATGAATTGCGAGGCTGGTTCGTTGTATCCTCACAGAGAAAGACTCAACGAGGTTGACTTCAAAACTTGCTTCAATGACTATCATGACTTGATGGTGGCCGCTCGCCTTGGAAAGGATGGCTATATCAAGCAAATTGCTGGATATCACACAGATGACAACGACACACGAGTTCGACAAGTCTCATGGGCAATCTTTGAAGTATCTTGGGGAAAGACAAAGGATCGAGATACAGATGAGATTGTTGACTTGACAAGAGCTAGGATGAGAATGACACGTGTGTGCGTTTATCACGTCGGACAGAAGTATGCATCAGACTCTGCTGGGATTGTTGGTGAGTGCTTAGCTGTTATGGCTTTTGAGTGTGCCAGATATCAAGTTGACTTCATCGCAGGTGATGGAAACAAGGCATGCTATTACAGCACACCAAAATCTCCAGGTGTCCCTACATATCAACACAGCCTTATCCAATTCTGGATTAACAGAATGGTAGGTGTTGCAACACAAGCCATGCGCAAGAATTTTGATCCAACTTGCCCTCCAATCAGGGTCAAGCATTTCATTTCTTGCAGTTATCGTGACTTGGATTTTCTTGCAACGCACTTGGATGGCATTACAACAGCAACATACACCGACGAGATCATGAAGAAGACAGCTGGTAAAGGTGATTGTTGTATGTTAACAGTTGTTGAGTGGGGTCATTCACGTTTGATGTGTGAGGAACACCCAGAAGACTTTGAGGATGAAGATCACATGAACTATGTGGGTGAATTTTACTTCAAGGTAAATGAAACTTGCTTACATGGTGATCACAACATCTTCATGGTTGCTCCAAATGATCGCGATGCTCATAATCCAATTCTTATCCATCTTGATCCTTCTGATATGTCATGGAATGAACGACATCATTACAAACAGGCCTACAAGAAGAAGCAGTATGCTGATTCAAGAAAGGAAAGACAGAAGGAGAAAAAGAGAAAGGCATATGAAGATCAAGCATCGACGTATCAGGGCAACACAGAGTGGGGTGGATCCTCATCTTCAGCGTCCAGACCATGGAGATCAAGTGAGTGGCGATGAGTGAGTGTACACTTCTTTAATTGAAGATAACACAGCATGAGAAGCCGTGTACAGTTTTTCTGTGCGTTCAACTTATTTCACAGAGATGGCATATACTCTTTTAGATAGAGATAATGCCACAAGTGTCTGAACTTCAATTTAATGTAAAATAGAGACTCTTGTAAATAGAGATACTATACACATTTATCTCCATGAACCATCCGGCGAGCAGACCACTCCGAATGGAGCGAACTTCAAAAATTTACCAACTTCGATTTCAGTCCATTGTTTGCTTGAATGAGCAACTTTGGAGATCCGCTATTTCCGTTTATTTCGTGATCTGGTCAATTGTTTTTCGTATGACCTGAATTTCTGAATCTTGCGAACCCGAACTTTTCAATTCGAACTTTCACCGGTAGAGCGAGGCATTTTGCCTGTGGAGAGACCGTGCGCGAAGCACCATTGGTCGCTACTGGAAAAATTAGCGAATCCGCTGTTCTTTTTCGACATGTCCTTAGGACATTCGCTGCTTTCACGTGTTTTTCAATTCGAAGCCACTGCGTAACTCCGGTTTCTTTTGCTATTTGCCATTGTGTAGAGAAGTCAGGAAGATACTCTTAATACCAATTGGGTACGGCAAGGCGTAGTGCTCTACTCATTGCTTTTGAATTTGTGCCTGTGTTTTTGTTTCGACCTAATACCTACATAGGTACATGCATGAGTATTGAGCACATTTATATGCGCCCTTCAAGGCTCAAGAAAGAGGTATATAGAGTAACCCTGTAGACAAGCACTGACCGGCAACAGGCTGAGAGTAAAAGAGTGCTGTCATTGGGGAAGACGCCTTAGCTGATCTTGAAGTAGACGCTAGGGCCCCTCTTCAGCCCTCCCCCCCAATCCCCCCCTCCCGCTTTTTTTAATTATTTAAATTCAAACTTGCACACTTTTCAATACACTTGTTTGATTCGACTATATTAATATTTTGTTAAAAATTATATATATATATATATCTAGACATATATATATATATAGACACACGTATACATATATATATATATGTATATGTATATGTATATGTATATATTTGCATTTATATATACACTTATATTTATATATATTAATGTACTTATATAAATGTATATATATATACATACATATTAATATGTATATACATATCAATGTATATATATATATATATTTATATAATTATATAACTATAAGTATATATATATATTATAAATACACATACATATTTACTTATAGATATACAGACGTATACATATATATATTTCATATTTGTGGTTGTTTTTATACACAACTTTGATCCCAACATAAACAATAAATAATAATGTAATTATACCTAATTACATGTTGTATCCCTAAACCCTAAACCACACCCTGCATATACATACATACATGCATGCATGCATACCTACCTACCTACATACCTACCTACGTACATACATACATACATACATACATACATACATACATACATACACACATACATATATATATAGATTGATTGATTGAAGAAAACCAAAAAAACCTTGCAGAAAACGATGGAAAATTGAAGAAAACCATGGAACAATTGAAGAACACTATGGAAAAATTGAAGAAAACCATGGAAAACTTGCAGAAAACCATTGGAAAACCATGGAAAATTGAAGAAAACCCGGGAAAAATTGAAGAAACCAATGGAAAAATTGAAGAACACCATGGAAAACTTGCAGAAAACAATGGAAAATTGAAGAAAACCATGGAAAATTGAAGAAAACCATGGAACAATTGAAGAAAACTATGGAAACATTGAAGAAAACCATGGAAAAATTGAAGAAAACCATGGAAAAATTGAAGAGGCACGAACCCCCAAAAAAATTCCAAAACTGTAAAAAAAAAAATACCAAAAACAATTCTGCACCCGATCTTTATAGAAAATGAATCTGCAATCTGCGGTGTGTCAGGTGTGCCATATCTTGAGTTGATCACCTCTTGTAGTTTGATAAAGCCTGGAGATATAGATTTCAGAACCTAATGAGTTCAGCGACTTGCGAACCAAACTCCTTCCATGATGGTGTCAATCAAACTTCCGGTCTCGGCATGAGATTCTGTGTCATGGCCAATTCGTTGATTCCCCAAGCTCGTGCCCTTGCTCCTTGCCAGACCTGCGCAGGCAGAAGTTGGAAAAGACCTTGAGCTTTTCCAGCGGATGCTGCCCCATCTTCGGTTCCTGCTGGATGTCATGGCGCGCAGTGGCTTCAAGGATCCAATTCTCTGAGACACCCATGTGGCGTTGCAAAGCTTTGAACGTGTGACGGAGCTGCCTTAGCTGCCTTGCCAGTTGTGAAAGCTTCAAGTTGAAGAGTCCCATCGATTCTCTTTTCAAATTCGCATGTCTGCTTTTAGCATCTTTTAGCATCTTTTAGCAAGGTCAAGTTCACCAGTCAACTTCAAGGCATCTCACCGGTCACTTGAACCTATTCTGAGGTGCTTGCCGTTGTAGACTTTAAGTACCAAATTCGTTTCACCCACAGCTATCCACAAAAAATGGATATTGAATCCATATCTGAAACATTCCGGATATTTGCAATTGCAATGTATGATAATGTATGAGTTGCGATTTGCATAAGATGGATCCCAGCGCAGGAGCTCAACAAGCTCAGTGAGGGGGAGCTCGTGGCGTCGCAGGGCATTGCTGAGATGTTGGCGTCCGGGGAGGCCAGCGCAGCGGGGGTGCTCCGGGGAGTCAATGTGTCCGAAGCACGGTGGGATGGCAGCTGTCCAGCGGGATCCTCGGAGGGGACAACGGTGCCCAGTCGGAGCATCTCACGGGGTCCGGGGGCTCGAAGGCCCACTGCCTTCTCCAATTCCGGGAGCTCGGCAATTCTGGCGCCAAGGTGCCAAGCCGCGGGAGGTGGTGAGAGGCTGGTGATTTCATCACTGGGAGATTTTGGAGGATTTATTCATGGAACGCTTAATACCGTAATACCATGTAATACCATCATTGGTGGAATATTGGTGGCATGATTGGAAAGTTGATATTGATTTATTGATTCTGCCCAGACAGAGTCATGCGCGCAGATTTTATTCAACTAAGCTGCGAAGGCATATAAAGGCTATGTATTGCTGCATTGGCCCTTTCCAAATCCGATTGGGATCAGGTGCCCTTCCATGAGATGATTTAGATGTAGAACATCCTTGATCATCTTGGACTGTCGCATTTTTGAAGTGTCACAGTATCACATAGTAGACTAGGTAGGCACGAGGTTTCTGATCTCGCACGTGATGAAAGTCCATGAAGTGGCCTTTGCAGCAGACATTTCCATGACATCAAACCCAAACACCACTAAGCAAATACGTCTAACATCATCCAACCAATTTTCGGCAGGAATTAAATGTTTGGCGTGTTGCTTGACCTCATGACACCGGTGCTGTTCTGATTAATTTGTCACCAGCCATCTAGGTGCGTAAAAGGTGGGTCACTCACGTCCTGCAAGTGCAAAGGTTTCCAGATGAGTGCCGTTCTATCAAGAAAGATGGCTCTACTGCAAGAGCTGTCCAAAGTGTCAGTATGAATTAGTTATAATTAGTTGTGATCATTATAATTATAACTAGTTATAGTAAGTTATAATTATATATAATTATAATTAATTATAATTATAATTATAATAAGTTACAATTAGTATTAGTATGTATTAGTTGGATCACATATATTGCAGGTACGTATTTGGCTCCTGTAGCAGAAGGTTCAACATCGAACGAGTGTTTCACACGGTGAACTGTTTGGGTTTTGTTAGTTATACCCATCTCGAGCTCGACACGAACGGCACACCCCCTGCATCTGGGGCGCTGTCTCGGAGCTGCAGGTGGTGGCGGAGGCCATGAAGCACACCGCGATGGAGGAGCTTAACCTCGACGACAACGAGATCGGAGCCGAAGGCGCCGAGGCACCGCTGCGCCGGAAGAGTCCGGGAGAGTCGGGAAGGGATGGGAGGAATTTCCCACCGAAACTTTGAGAGGTGCCGTGGAGTTCCGTGCCGGAGCGGCGAATCTTGAAATTTTTTGAAAGTTCAGGATTCAGATAGGATGTGTATTCAATAAGATCACCCAGTATCTGAGCTGTCCGAATCTTTTCGGTTGTAGAAATGTTTGAAATCATCGGCTTTCCCGTCCAGCCAGACGCTGTTCAACAGAAATTATTTCTTTGGCACGGTGTTCTTTTCTTTGGTTTTGTTTTGCTTCTGCAAGCAGGCTTCCTAGCTCCGCTGTGTGCGAATTGCCCGTTGTGGCACGTCTCGGGGATGGTCCGAATAGGAACTTAGGTGAGATTTTGAATAACAATGCAATGTGGTGAGAAGGTGTGCCACTGCATAAGCTCTCCTTAGGTCATTCACAGAGCCAAAGAACAGAGCAAATGCCAGACACCGCTAGATTGATGTGTTCCGCGTGTGCAAATCAGGCAAATCTGTGTGGAACAAGCCAAACCGCTTTCTTTCTCAGCGATTGTACATGTGAGATTCAATCTTTGTTTTGGCAATTTTTGTGACAGACTTACTAGAAGTGATTTGTCTTCCCACATGGCGATTCATCCGCTTGATGTTGGTTTGCCAACATTGGTCTTTCCCACATAGTGACCCCACATCCCATGATTTGAGCTGATTTATTTACAACACGGGCTTTCTGTACAAGGCAAACATGGGTAAATGGGATTTGATTCCTTGAAGAAGTGTGGTCTCTCTTGCGCATTCTCTTTAGCCCAGCACTCTTTGAAATGAGCACAGTAGTACTGTCAAAGAGAGCTTTGTCATGAGCAAACTTACTTCGAAAGAGGTGGATCCATGCATTGAAAGGGGGCAGCATCGTTTCAAAATTAATGATTTTATGATTGTATGCCCGGCATTTCTGGCAGACCATGTGTATAAAATGTCGTGCAATGTTTACTTCAAATGCATAGAACTTCTCAAAAAGACTGCATTTTGTTGACAATGAAACATTGTGTGAACATAGACTCCTTTTCTGTATGATATGTACGCAGCGGTCTTTGCCCAGAGCATGGCATTTCTGGACTAAAGCGTGATATAAGTGTGTGCAATATGTCCTTGAAAAGAGTTCCGCACCTCTTTGAAAAGGGCGCAATACTTTCTGAAGACGATGGAACATTTGTAGATCTGTTGATTCCTTGACTTGCGGCCCCTGCATTGGGATGAGAATTCTGGCATAGACTTTCGACCTGCTGCTGAATTGAATTCCAAAAGCACCAAAGGATTTGCACTGTGAATTTTGAACAACACTGTTTATGCGGCAATTTCATGGGCTTTGCGCATCCCCCTCTTAAGATCTGATCTAGACTATGCAGATGCTGTGGGCCTGTTATACTTCACACATTTTCACACCTTCCCTAGTGACATGTGAAGAGCACAAAGATTTGACATATTTTGAACATGTCCTGGGTCCTATGATTATGGAGGATTTAAAGGGAGTGGTTTGGCATGGTCTGGTCAGAAGCTGTGCCACCGCACAATTCGGCTACTGTAGGTTGAGCAACCACATAAGCTCTCCTTGTAGGTCTTTCACCAAGCCAAAGATCAGAGCCCAACATGGCCAGAGACGCATACAAATCCGTGTGGAGCCAACCAGGTCGTTTTCTCCGGGCGAACGCATGTTGGAAATTAAACACGCATTTTTTGGTTGCCTGTGAAAGATTTCCAAGTGATTCCGATCCACTTGATGTTGGTTTGGGACGCGCCCCACCTGTAGATTTCCCCTGGATCTGTCTCTGTGCCTTGGCCGTAGAAAAAGGGAGTCCATCTCGATGCTGTCGCCCCGAGCCAGGCCTTGGGAGAGGGGCTGAAGGAAAACAACAGTTTGCAGCAGCTTCACCTCGCGAAGAACAACATCGGCGCCCCCGGTGCTCAGGCGCCCTGCGGAGCTGCCGCGCTGTGGGGTCGGGCGGTGTTGGGGCAGCTGGACCACGCTGGAGCTGTGGCCAAGACGGGTGATCTCCAAGGGGTTGGATGGTGAAGTTTGTGGAAAAGGAAAGGTGTGCGAGATGTTGTTTGTTAGTCAAGTGGGACATATCATGTTCGCCGCAATTTGATGTACTCTACCACAATTTCTGGAGGGTGGATTTTTGTCATTCGAGCATCGTTTTGAATTGAATTTCGAGCATTTTTGCACATTTTGCATAATTCATGTGCACTGCTGACTCACAATGGGCCATTGAGCTCTGATAACAAACGGCAGTAAAGAGTAAGAGGCCCCAGTTTGCACCACACTAATTGCCGATCGTATCCAGCCTTAGAGTTCAATCTCATGGGTTGCACTGTTCTTTCCTGCAACCTTGCAAGCTCGAAATATTGTTCGATCCATTTTTGCACAAAATTTCCCGGAGATTTAAAGGGCAAAAAGATTGACTATTTGACTATTTGACATATGTTTGAAATGTCGAAGGATTGTGGAGAATTTATACAGAGAGATAGAGAGAGAGAGAGAGAGTGGTTCCGTCAGAAACTGTGCAACTGTAGATATTGGCAACTGCAGGTTGAGCAACCGCATAAGGTCATTCATCCGGCCAAAGATCAGAGCCAATGCCAGACACTACCAGCTTCATCTGTTTCACATATGCACATCTGTCTGGAACGAACCATTGGTCTTTATTTACACAGCAATATTGTAATTAACAGATTTAGAAGTGATAGTTCCCTACCGCCTGGTGATTCCCATCTGCTTGATGTTGGTTTGACGAGCCCCACCTGTAGATTTCCCCCGGATCTGTTCCTGCGCCTTGGCCTCAGAAAAAGGGGAGTCCATCCCGACGCTGTCGCCCCGAGTCCCCGAGCCAGGCCTTGGGAGAAGGGCTGAAGGAAAACAACAGTTTGCAGCGGCTTGACCTCGAGAACAACAGCATGGGCGATGCCGGTGCTAAGGCGCCCGGCTGGGGGGGATGTCCAAGGGGTTGGATGGTGAAGTTTGTGAGGAGAAAAGGAAGCCTGTGGGAGATGTTGTAGGTCCGTGTGTCTTAGTGTCTTCCTGGTGAGTTATTTGTGACTAATTGAATGTTATTGAAACGATTTGAATTCTTTCACAGCTGGAAACATTTGTGCTGGATGGTTTAGTCACTCGAAATATCGTTTGATCCATGTTTGCACCAAAATAACCAGAGATTTGAACGAACCATTGCGTTTTCTCTTGGTGACGAAATGTTTCACATTCAACCCCTTTTACACACAGCAATATTGTAATTAACAGATTTAGAAGTGATAGTTCCCTACCGCCTGGTGATTCCCATCTGCTTGATGTTGGTTTGACGAGCCCCACCTGTAGATTTCCCCCGGATCTGTTCCTGCGCCTTGGCCGTAGAAAAAGGGGAGTCCATCCCGACGCTGTCGCCCCGAGCCAGGCCTTGGGAGAGGGGCTGAAGGAAAACAACAGTTTGCAGCGGCTTGACCTCGACAAGAACAGCATCGGCGCCGCCGGTGCTGAGGCGCCCGGCTGGGGGGGATGTCCAAGGGGTTGGATGGTGAAGTTTGTGAGGAGAAAAGGAAGCCTGTGGGAGATGTTGTAGGGCCGTGTGTCTTAGTGTCTTCCTGGTGAGATATTTGTGACTAGTTGAATGTTATTGAAACGATTTGAACTCTTTCACAGCTAGAAACATTTGCGCTGGATGGTTTAGTCACTCGAAATATCGTTTGATCCATGTTTGCACCAAAATAACCAGAGATTTGAAGAGCACAAAGATTTGACTATTTGACATATGATTGAAATGTCGAAGGGTTGTGGAGAATTTACAGAGAGAGAGAGATTGGTTCGGTCAGAAACTGTGCAACTGTAGATATTGGCAACTGCAGTTGAGCAACCGCATGAGTTTTTCTTAGATCATTGCCACAGATCAGAGACAATGCCAGACACTACCAGATTCATC